ATGGCACGGCCGGTTAAGAGGCAAGCAGTACAAGGAGCACAAGATGAGATTGATGAGAAACACCTTTTGGCTTTCATTGTGAAGGACAAATATAAAGAAGAACAAAAATGCAAAGAAGAACTCGAGAAATATTGTAAAGAGTTGAAGGAAGCAGATAAAAATCTAGAGAATGTGGATGATAAAGTTAAAGGACTTTGTGATGATAAAAAACGAGACGAAAAATGCAAAGACGTGAAAAAAAAAGTTGAAGATGAATTAAAAGATTTTGAAGAGGAACTTCAAAAAGTATTGAATAATATAAAAGATGAAAATTGCGAAAAATATGAAGAAAAATGTATACTTTTAGAAGAGACGGATTATGATGTTATTAAGGATAACTGTGTCAACTTGAGGGAAGGATGTTACAAATTGAAGCGTGAAAAGGTGGCAGAGGAGCTCCTTTTGAGGGCGCTCGGAAAGGATGTTAAAAATGGTGAATGTGAAAAAAAGATGAAAGATGTTTGCCCAGTGTTAAGCCGAGAAAGCGACGAATTGATGTCTTTTTGCCTTAATCCGACTAAAACGTGTGAAGATCTGAAAAAAAAATTGGATACTGTTTGTGGGCCTTTAAAAGAAAAGCTTAAAGATAACGAATTAGAGGGAAAGTGTCATGAAAGACTTGAGAAATGTCATTTTTACAAAGAAGCGTGTGATGATTCAAAGTGTGATGAGGATAAGAAGCAATGCGAGGAAAAAGGAATCACATATAAAGCGCCGGAATCTGATTCTAGTCCGGTCAAGCCGAAGCCGTCGTTGTTGAGAAGTATTGGGTTGGATGATGTCTATAAAAACGCGGAAAAACATGGGATTATTATTGGAAAAGCAGGAGTGGATCTACCAAGGAAGTCGGGTACAAAATTTCTGCAAGATCTCTTGCTAGTCTTGAGCAGAGATGAGGATAATAAGGAACCAGAAAAGAAATGCGAAAAAGCGTTAGGAAAATGTGATGCTTCTAAGTATTTGAATACTGATTTGAAAGAGTTATGCGATCAAAATAATAAACAAGAAAAATGCAAAAAAATACTAGATGTAAAAGAAAGATGTACAAAACTCAAATTAAATCTTCATGTGAAAGGGTTGTCTACAAAATTTAAAGAAGATGAAAAATCAGATCTTTTATCGTGGGTAAAGCTTCCAACCTTTTTTATAAAAGGAGAATGTGCAGAACTTGAGTCGGAATGTTTCTATTTAGAAAATGCGTGTAAAGATAATGAGATTGGTGAAGCGTGTCAAAATCTACGATCAGCGTGCTATAAAAAGGGACAAGACAGGATGTTGAATAAGTTTTTTCAAAAGGAATTGAGGGGAAAGCTTGGTCTTGTAAGATATCGTAGCGATCCTAAAGATTGTAAAAAATATGTAGTGGGAAACTGTACAAAACTTGATAAAAAATATCTTCCACGATGTCTTTATCCTAAAGAACTATGTTATGGGCTTTCAAATGATATTTTTCTTCAATCCAAAGAGTTAAGTTTGCTTTTAGATGATCAAAGGGATTTTCCATTTGAAAAGGATTGTGTTGAATTGAAGGAGAAGTGTGATGAACTTGGTAGTGATTCATTATTGAATTTAGAAAAGTGTATAACATTGAAAAGACGCTGTGAATACTTTAAGGTTACAGAAAGATTTAGAAAAGTATTTTTAGAAAGAAAAGATCATTCATTATACGATGAGCAAAATTGTACGAAGGCGTTGCATGAGAAATGTGAAGCCCTATTTAGGAAAAGGAGGAATCCATTTGAGTTTTCATGTGCTTTACCAGAAGAAACATGTAGTTATATGGTATACCATACAAAAGATGAATGTAGTAATTTAAGAGACAACATCAAGAATGGAGGAATTGTAGGAAAAATTGGAGGAGCAAATGGGAATGAAACAGCACTTGAAGAACTCTGCACAACATGGGGCCGACATTGTCATCAACTTGTGGAGAACTGTCCGGAGCAGTTGAAAAAAGAAGGTGATAACAAAGATCATAACTGTGACAAACTCGAAGAAAAATGCAGTGAAACTTTTGAAAAGTTGAAATTGGAAAAGGAGCTGACTCATCTGTTGAAAGGAAGTTTAAAGAGTGAAGATGAATGTAAAAAAACATTAGGAGAGCGTTGCACTGAGTTGGAAAAGAAAGGAACATTCAAAATTCTGCTTAGTGATTGTAAAGAAGATAAGAAGCAAAATGTTTGCATAAAATTAGTTAAAAAAGTACAAGAGAGATGTCCTACTTTAAAAACCGATCTGGAGAAGGCGAAAAAAGAGTTGAAGGACAAGAAAGATGAATACGATGATGTCAAACAGGCAGCAAAAGAATCTACGGAGAAAGCTAAGTTATTACTATCGAAGCCTCGAGAAGCCGTAACGCCAAGTGGGCAGAATAGCAATGGTTCTGCACCAGTATCACCGCCTGCACCAGAATCAGGGTCATCATCATCACCAGCAGAGTCACCAGTACAGCCACTACCACCACCATCAACTGGTGGAACACCAGGAGCACCAGATGGAACATCAGGCACACCAAGCAGTGGAACGACGGGCCCTGCAAAACTTGGACTCGTTAAAAGAGCATATGTAGATGGAGGAGTATCAGAAGCAGAGGTAAAAGCATTTGATGCAACGACGATAGCATTGGAATTGTATTTGGAATTGAAAGAGGAATGTAAAGCTTTGCAACTAGATTGCGGTTTTAGAAAGGAATGTGAGAAAACTGAACCAGCTTGTAAAGAAATAGACACGTTATGCGAAGGAATAAAACCATTAGAAATTAAGCCTCATCATACAGAGACGCAAAAAGAAATCTCAACCACTACGACGACCACTACGACGACCACTACCACAACAACTACTACGACTACGACGACAACAACTACTACAACCAAGCAGGGAAGTGGAGGAAAAGTAACAGAAGAGTGTACAATGATACAAACAACAGATACATGGGTGACACGTACGTCATTGCATACGAGTACGACAACGAGCACGTCAACGGTGACGTCGACAGTGACGTTGACGTCGATGCGCAAGTGCAAGCCTACCAAATGTACCACCGATTCAAACAAAGAGACAGACAAAGGAGGAGAAGAAGAAGAAGTGAAACCAAATGATGGGATGAAAATAAGAGTTCCTGATATGATTAAAATAATGTTGTTGGGAGTGATTGTTATGGGGATGATGTAAATGAATGAAAAAAATGTTAATAGAATGAAAATGTGCATATATCCATTG